TCCTTTTAACAGCTGAATACTCAGCCCAAATTCTGTTGCTGCTGGAGGAGCGAACAGAACTTGGGCCGAGGAGGGCACCACTCATGCGGAGAAGTGAGGGATAGCCCCGTCCAAGTATTGCGGTTAAATGACTTTTTTTAATGCCTGATCAGTCTGGCGCCTTGCTGCTGCCTCTCTACAACCCCAGTGAGAGACTTGTCTTACCCCTGTCTTAGGAACACTGAGGCAAAGAACTCGTTGAGGAGTTCAGCCTTGTCCCCCCCTGTCCGTCACCAATTGCTTCTGCCCATTTAGTAGGGGTCCTATTCCTCCCTGGGCCTTCCTTTTACTCCCTATATATCTAAAAAACAATTTCTTGTTATCCTTTACTTGGGATGCCATCCTCAGCTCCACGGTAGCTTTGGCCCTTCTAACTGCCTCCCTACAAGCACAAGCAGAGTCTTTGGTGATCTCTCTCTGTTTCCACTTTTTATGTGCTCCCCATTTGGCCCGTAGGCTGCCCTGGATTTCTCTGGTCAGCCAAGGAAGCCTCCTGGCCCCTTTCCCTCTTTTTCCTTGCATCGGGATTGTCTCCCTTTGTGCCCGAAGGATCATTTCCTTAAGGCACAGCCACCCTTCTTGGGCTCCCATCACTTCAAAACTCTTACTCTGCAGTGCGTCCTTGACTAATCGCCTGAGTTCATTGAAATCAGCTTTCCTAAAGTCTAGCACTTTCACCCTACTAGTTACCTTACCCACTCAACGTCTTATGAAGAATTCTATTATTAGGTGATCACTGTCCCCCAGATGGCTACCGATCTGTAGGTCTCCTACCATGTCATCCCCCGTTGCCAATACCAGATCCAGTAAGGCATTCCCCCTAGTGGGTTAGAAAAGATGCCCTAAACAGACTGTCTCATTTCAGATCCTATACTCCTAACTCACTTGAGAGGTAGACAAAAAAAGAGATTCAAGAACACTTTGAAGGCCTGTCTGAAGAAATGCAATATTAAAATCAATACCTGGGATACTCAAACATTGAATTGTCCCTAATGGTGCTGTGCTGTATGAAAGGCATCAGTCATTTTGAACAAACTTACCTCACTATGTGTTCAACTGTTGTGTTCAACTGATACCTAGATAGATAGATTATAGTGGCGTTTCATTTTAATCATGGAAAAATGTGGACTTTGGGGGCTTTAATCAGGGAATTTGTAATTAATTTTACCAGAGATTTTGCAATTTTTAAACAGAGAAAACTAGTATACCTGGTTATAATAAGGCCAGGGTTGCATAATATGAAATGATTTTCTAGTGTTACTTCTTTAACAATGAGTTTCTTTTGAAGATGGGAGAGGTTCAAAGTTTAAATGACTGAAGGGAAGTAATCACTGAAAATTTAGCTTCTGAAATGGCTGTTAAGTAGCCAAGCAAGCAGGCCCTTGGTAACCTGCTCTAAGGCACATGAGTCATGCCTTCTAGACAATGACAAATTTATGTTTTAAAAGGATGGGATTCTTAAGAATAACACTTGGTTATTCAGAGAAGGACTTTTCACGCTGGGGGAAATTAAATGAGAGAGAATATCTTTTTTAGATATGCCTGAAAAGATGCAGATATTCGTTTGGTCACAATTGGATCGGGGAGACTTCTAGTTCTGTCCCCCAAATATGTGCACTTACTGGAAATTATATGCATAGTAGGGGCTTCTCAAGAACCTAGTGGATAATGTGTGTAAATGGCCAGATAAGAAACCATGCTTAGATCTTGCCAGGAGAGAGAGGGTTTGTCCAGTGTTTCCTGGGTATGAGGTACTTTAGTCCCCCAGGCTGTTGATAGATGTTTTTCTAGGTTTAATCCAGATGACAGCTGTCACTGTACACATGGACGTCTGCAATCTGAATTAAAATTGGCTCCAGTCCGAATTAACTAATCCTTATTGAATAATGAGTCCATGTTAGGCAATTTAAAGTGTATTAATTAATGTGTATACAGCATTGCTTTTAGGAAAAACAGTCTTTAGGTACTCAGATGAGCAGATAAGCATTACAAATGCCAATCACAATAGAGGCTATCAGGTACAAAGTATCACCTTTTCAAAGTCGAGTGTGCCAACAACACCTCACCATGACTAAAGTATCAGGTCAATTGTACCCTTTAAGGTTTCTGGAACAGCACTTCAGATAACTGTTAGAAGGTTTGTAACAATGTAGCAATGCTTAAACAGGCTTATTATCACCACCTAATGCAAGTGCTAACACAGTAAGCTCGCACAGAGGCTGCAAGTTGGGTCTGTTAAGGGGCTGTCAAGTGTATATAGTGGGCGGGTCGACACGTGCCCCTGTGGTGCCCTTGTTATTGCGCCGTCATTAGTACTAAATGATGGGGCAGTAACAGCTGTTATTGGGCCATGCAGGCAGCACACGTTTATTTTTAGCCACTATGTCACTGTAGTGGCACATGTAGGTGCGCCCACTGTGTATAGCCAGCACCTCCTGCCGTGATGGTCAATTATTATTAACCCTTGATTTGAATTGAAATGTCATTCAAACTGTGTGATGTAAATCAGTTAACACGGTTTAGAAAATGGTGAGCACATCTACAAATGGCCCCAGTGGTTAAGCTGTGCGAAGTAAGCTAATAGTCTGGAAGAGGACTTTGGCTTGGAAAGAAGTAAAGCTGTATTCTTTGAGCTTATGGCTAAGATGCAGAAATAAGGTGAAATCATTGCTCTAATATTTCCTTTTGTTTGTTCTTATATTTCTGCCTCTGTCTTAACACATGGTTACTGATTTTTTTTTTTTAATGTTCATTTTTGTTTCTGTAATATCTCTTCTTGTTATCTGTTATGATAACTTATTGTCACTGATAGCTGTGATCTCAGAACATTTAACCATATTGGCAGGAAGAGATTAACTGTCTTTACTGAGTAGTAACCAGACAAGGGGATGATTCTTTTAGTTGGCAAAATCCCCTTTGCTGACAGGACCTGAGTGAGACTGGTAAGGCTGAAGTGCCGTAGGCCAAGGAGTTAGTTTCTGGCATATCTCAGCTGTTTCTCAGTCAAACAGCAAATGACAGAGAGGGGTTCGGGGCTGAAGGGCACCCAAGAAGGTGTGAGAACATTTCAGGAGTGCATTTCAAATGTGTGCCTGGCCACATGCGGTAATTAATGAGAAGAGTGAAAGAAGTACAAGCAATAACGTTGCATAATGTGTATAATGTTTCTCATAAGAATAAATTATAAATTGTACCCAAAGTTTTTATCTAACGTGGTATGTCAATGTTAGTTTTAAGCCACTTCTTACTAGTACACTTAGTATTATTCTTTATCCCTCGACCCCACTCAGATAACGGGAAGGAGAGATTATATTCCTTAGATGTACTAAGAACATTTTGCTTTCTGAATAAGACTAAACACTTCAAAATCTTAGGATTTTTTGTAGTAAATAGAGAGCAGAAGTCAAGGGAAAAGCAGTTTCTTTATAAAGAATTTCCAACTGGATCACAGCCTTTCAAACTGATACCGGTTGGCTTGTAAATAACCACCTTCAACAAGGGTTTGGTCGTCTTCTGTAGTATATTTAGAATAACTGATTCTAGACACCTGCAAAGCAGCAATGTGATCCTCTGTTTACATGTTTACACAGTACTGAGACATTGCTCATGCTTTTGGAAAGGCTGTGAATTTCTTAAAGCTATTGTATGTTCACTGTTTGGCTAGAATTCTGGGACGCGCCACCAACAAGGATTACTGCTTGGGAATCGCCAAAAACAAAATATACGTGCAGTTCCCTGAATTAAAAAAAGAAATGGTTAGTTAAGTCCTTTAGATGTGTTATCCTTACATGTATTCCACATCTTGGCTCCCACCCTTGTTACTGCAGTCTCATCATTTTAAATTCTCTGTATGGTGAACGAGCTTGTTGTAGCTGGATTCATTGCACACTTTTTATGCCCTTGTTTAGAGAGAGAATGCATGCAAAAAAAAGAGCATTACTCAAACGAGTACTTCTGACCAAAAATCCTCTAACTCAAATGCACTTTGTGTGGAATATACATAACGCATATTACTTTATAGGTAAGTAACCATTTCTTCAACTTGGCCTTTTATATTTCTGTCTGGCAACTGACACACATGGGAATCTAGAGTAAAGAGATAAATTTTGTTGCATTTGTAAATGCAGCTGGGGGAAAAGAGGTCTTAATTTAGAGTGATTATTGAGCATACTTTCTTGACACACCTGTACTCTCATGCACATTAGTGGGAGTTAGGTATCAGAAGGACCCCGGTGCATGAAGAAAAAACATCTGAATCTATGAATTTTTTTGAAAGAAGTCTTCAAAAATCTGATGAGTTATAGTATTTAGTACTCAATACATTTGGTGTAGTATTTGACAATTGAATTATGAGCACAGTAACTGATGACATGGTTCATTTTCAAGTTGTGCTTTAGGAAATCAAGTACTGTGGCTTTCTCAATGAATGTTGAACATTTATCCTTGTTTGTACAGATAATTCTGTTAAGTGGCATAAAATACTAGAACTGAAAGGATTTTATGGGATATACGAGAAGGGAAGTGTGATTTTGCTAAATCCTATTAGTTAAAATTAGACCAGGAAAAAGATTTTTCATAACAGAAAAAATATGTAGTTATTAGTGACTGTGCATTGAATTTATATGAATGACTTGTCTGCTTCAGCACTGAAGTTAATCTTTATTAGTTATGATATAGCTATTGCTTATTTTCACAATTTTTTCTTTAATATATATAAATATTTTGGATAGTGAATTGGAATATCAGCTTGGTAATGCTGTTTTTAATTTTTATTAATAATGGGTTTGTTTTCAGTGACTCTTGTTTTCTAAAACACCATCTTTTTGTGACCCCTGTCCTTAGGGCTGTGCTTTGTGTTTTCAGTCAGTTATTAATACGCTTGATGGGATTATAGAGTTCATGAAACAAACCTGCTGCCTTTTTTATGAAAAACAGGGCAGTGATTTTTATCATTTAAGAGAATCCTTTTTATGTGAGTAGTAACTGAAATGTTGCAACCTTGTTCTAAAAATGAAATTTCTTTTGCTTTAAATAGATTTAGGATCTTTCTCTAGGAGTGAAAAAAGAAGAGTCTCTGATTTGAACCACTAAGTAGCAGGCTGTGTCATGAGGATCAGATGCATTCAATTTGTTATAAGTAGTTTGAAATTATGAGAGAGAAATCCCCACCCGTCCTCCCTTTATTTATAAATAACTTAGGTTCTGAAGACGTTTGAAACATTAAATTTTTAACATGAAGGGGAAAAAAAGAAATGGCTGCCACAGAGCAATCAACAGTTAAAGTCTGATCAAATCAGAGATGGAGTAAACGTGAATTTCCTTGGTGATCTAAGAGATGCAGTTGAACTAGGTGATTCATTTCTGTGGGGAAGTCCTTGAATTGTAGGTACAACATAGTGAGCACTTGTTATTTTGATCATGAATACTAACTGGGGTTGTTGAAGAACACTTTGATAGTTGTCTGAAGTCTGTCATTCTGCCATCACATAAGAAGGCTTCTTTCGTTACATCTGTATGGTTAGGAGAGGAGTTAAAAGTGGAAGTGAAAATTAATGATCGTAAAAAGAAAAAATGGGGACCTTGATAAGAAATGCAGGTAATTAAAAGGGAAGCTAAGGATGCAGTGAAACCAGTAAGGTTATGGATAATTAGAGGGAATTCTTTAAGTACATTGGGAACAAACTAAATTCTAATAATGGTCTAGGTCTGATGTTGCATAAGGATGATAAAGTTATCAATCCTGATGTATGGAAGGACAAAGTATTTAAAAATATTTTGCTTGGAACAAAAAAAGCAGAAAGTGTTACTGTAGCAATGAGAGATTTTTCTATTCCTCCAGTAATGACAATGGATAATAAAAAGAAGCTGTTAAACACAATAATTTATACCTGAGTATAAAAAGTGTCTGATGACTTCTAATAGATTGTTTGTTTGATTTAAAAAAATAATCTTGAAACCTTGCGGGGGTGGGGAGGAGGGGAAGGGGGACCAAAGGAGTGGAAACAACCTACTCATACCAAAATTAAAAAGGGTAAACAGGCTAATGCAAGTAGTTAGTCTGACACTGATTTAGTCAAATCATGAGGTGGCTGATATATGCAGCAGTTAGGAATTAAGAGGGTAACATAGTTATTGCCAGTCGATATGGTTTTATGGAAAATAGGTCTTATAAAAGAAATTTGATACCATTTTGATGATATTGTTAGTGCTCTGGCTCCATCAAGGCTTGATGTGGCCCACAGACCAGCCTACTAACTCTCATCTTGCCCATAGGGCAGGCTGAGTTTGACACCCTTGGATAAAATATAAAAATGAGAATCAGGGATCCTCATACCTTGACAGTAAAGTACAAATTATTTAAGCAGACTAACTAATCATATAATTGCAAATATAAACAGAAATATACTGACACTGATATCTGAGCATAAAAATCAAAACAGGAGATTTAAACAACCTTGCAAATAATCAAGATGGCCAGTCAGTCTACCTGATTTGTACATGACACATGTAATCTAAACATTGCAAAAGGAAGAGGTTGCTGAATGTTATAAAGCATGTACCTGAAAATCTTCATCCTGGAAGCCAGTGTACTCCACGGGCAATTCAGTATTCCCAAGGCCATGCATCGCAAACACCCTGTGTCGGTAAAGTGCCAGTCTAGCACTATATTTATCCTTACCACTCCACACTAGTGGAGAAAAGGAGAACAGCTATGTATGACAATATACAACTGTGATTAGTGTGGGAGTCATTAACGGTTTGTACTTATTAAAACTTTTTTTTTTTTTAAAGCTTCAGAATTTATTAAATGTGCTTGGTATTTAATATTACTCAATGCAATTATGTTTTTAAAAACTTGTGATCTATTTACCTGGTCAGACAAAATGGAAATATCAGAGACCCAGATCAACATCCCTCCCTGTCACATGCATACGTGGCATCTTTAATCTATACTAATGCCAGCTGCACAGTGTTGTATAAAAACAGCAAACTAGAATTCTGTGGCTTACTCTTAAAATGATTTTTACATTGTGCCAGGGTTGGTAAAAGCATGCAGATGTGCACGTGCTCTACCAACAAAGCAGTGGCACTGTGCTAGCAAATGTTCTACCAGTAAAATTTTCTAACACTGACACCTCTTTGGTCTCAGATGCTTCGTTCAGGAAAATTAAATGATGTTAACAGTGGGGCTTTCATTTTTTTTGGGGAGAAGACCATTAATGATGTTTTTAACTTGCATTCAGTGTAAGTTTCTCTCTAATTTGACCATCTGCTTTCATGCAAACAATTTCATTTCTCCTTAGTGGGGAAACCTTCCAATATTTGCAGACTGCTATTTTCCTTTCTTTAGAGGGTCTATACAAGTGGAGCTAAGTGGAGCTGTCTGTTTTTACTATGTTGCCGTGCTATCCGGAGAATTACATTAGATACACCTGAAATGTTCCAGTTTTTCATTTAGTTCAAGGGTCGGCAGTCTGCACCTGGGATCCTGCCCACAGAGCCGTTTGACCCTGCCTGGGGACCTGGAGCTTTGTCAGCTGTGCTATTATTCCCCAGCCACTGTGGGGAAAAGTAGGGGTGGGGGTAGCTGCATCTTACTGCCTGCCCATCTCTGATTTGCAGCCCCAAAATGATGTTAACCCACCAGTATAATAATTTATTTATGCTGTTAAATGCACTGAAAAGTTTTGGGGGTTTTTTTGGGGGGGGAGGATAGGGGGGGAAGAGGAGGTTTATAGGAAATGTTTTGTGGAATGAGTATTTGAAACTAAGGAAAACAACTAATGAATTTTGATATTTAGTAAGGTGTCTGTTTTGCTCAAAGTTCAGTGCTTTATGGTGAACTTGGAACACTAGACTACTGGAAGACAAGGCTCTTTGGGTAAATCTGATATTTTTTATTAGACCAACTCACTTAGACTATTGGACTATTCTTTGTGGAACGTACTAGAACATCTGTTTCTCACACTCAAAAGCTGTTGGTAACAACACTGGAGCATATTTTAAGGTATATTTAAATAAAGGCAGTATCCTGTAAATGAGTGATGAGTGAGTCATTTCTTACTCATTACTAAACTAGCAGCTTATATTTGCTTTCTTTCTTTTTTTTACTGCCCTGCTAACATTTTGGGGGCAGGCGGGGAGCAGGGAGGTTTAAAGGTTGTTTTGGAGCTTGGACACCAGTCTACTTTCTTCAGAATCACCGTTTTGTACCCCATGGAAAGAAGAGCTTCGCTTTGCTGAGTTTGAGTTTGCCTAAGCGATAGCAGTATTGGAGCCAAGAGTACCAATTTGATGTCTTGCCAGAATACACAGCATACCACGTAGCTAGTAAACAAGATGAGGAAAGGAAAATTCCCTAAGTGAGTTCATTCATACAGCCACTTTTCATTTGTCTCAGTGGCTTCATGGTGTCTCATCAGACCATAAAGTCCCATTTCTTTTTGTGCCTGAACTATTTCCACTTACTTTGTGGAAGCCAGAAACTCTCTGAATTGTACGCTGCACGTTGCACGGAGCTGTCTGCCCTTGTGTTTTTTTCCCACTCGACGTTGCTCTTTGATGGTTTACTAACAAGCTGTAATCTAACCAGCCGGATGACGGGGTTAGTAGCAGAGTGCTAGAAAAACTTCTTGGCGTTAAATGCTTGTCTGCAGGGCTGTATTTTGATTTTCCTAAACCTTCAAGTCCTTCTCTGAGCTGCCTTGCCCTTTATCTCAAAGTGGCTCGTAAAGCAGCAGGCACAAATAACTGTAAGCAATTGTCACGTTTATTGCAATAAGGTTCTGTTTCCAGATTTAGAATTTCGGTATATGCATATTTCTCCCAAATCTCTTTTCCCGAGTTCAACATATGAGCTCCACAGGCCATCACTGTGTACTGGTTCTATTCATCTGCTGTGCCAAGCAGGTGAGCTGCTTAACCTCCTTCCTGCCATGTTCTTAGCCAGTCTTCTTTTTTTCTTAGAAACAGCAACACTTTTTTCTGTTACCTCTAATTCAATTTTGAGTTGTGAATCTGAATGAATTTTAACAGCAAAGTAACAAATTACTATTTATTTATTCTTTCTTGTGCTAACCACACTGTTCTCCACCTTCCCCCCACGTCCCCATGGGTTTTTTCCTTATTCTTATTTCTGGGTTTCTGGTCATTAATGATGGAAGTAACTGAGTCACAATGATTACAAAACCTTGAGATCTATATCCTTCAACAGGATGATTGGGTCAGTCCTGCACTTAACCCAGGAATACTGTGCCATGTTCACCTCTTTGGTGGCAGGTACAGTTTCTCATCACTATTGTAAATCTAACTGTTGTTTGTAGTACACATTTTAAAGTCTGCTCTATGTTGTGACAACACGTAAGTGTTTGTGTCTGATTTATGTAACATAAAAATACTGATTTGAAAAATTTATTTAATTTTAAAAACCTGAAAACAAAAGGCAACTCATTCCAGTTTTTGCTGATTAAACTGGAAGTACGATTTGTTTTTCTTTTGCAAGCACCAGGGTTTCCTACGAAGGTATCTCTGTTATGGTTTGCATAATTTTAAAGGCCTTGTTAAACCCAAAACATTTATCACTTTTTAAAAATAAAATTGAAATGAGTTTGAATTTGCCCTCTCGTAATTCTGAGAGAGAGAAGGAAGAGCAGAGTTGCACTTTCAGTGATTTCTGATTTACATTACATAAATTATTGTATAATGTTGTGTTGGCCAGTTTGCACAGGAGCTATCTGTGAAATACTCCCAAACCATCAAAAATAGAGAGAGACAGAGAGATTTTGTTTTCTTTTGTTGAAAAGGCATAAAATTAAGGCAGTAATTCATGACCGTGGATTACATAATTATATAAAACTTGTTCTTAATGGTTTTTGTTGGTGAAGAGAGATTACAAAACTCATCTGTTTTTAAAATTCAGTTGATTTTTTCCTAATAGGCACCTTAAATAGTTTTTAACCTCTTTGTGCACTGATACCGACACAATCAATAATTAGTCCTCTCACGACTGATGACAAATGGTTACTAAGCTGGGGGGATTTTATTGTACTTTGCAGAATGAAGTGAAACTACAGTTGTTGCAAAAGGTTATTAACAGATGCAATGTATGTTGAAGTGTGGGCTGACAGAAGTAGACAGGATTCTTCTCTATCTTAGTGAGGATACTGGTGATAGCATGGCACCAGTACTGCGGTGTTGATGTTACAGGGTAGGGAGAAATAAAGGAAGTTAACACCTGTTGACAGATTTTGGTTATAAATCAGAAGAAGCATTATCCTAGTGCTTTGTTGTATTTTCTGGAGGTAATGCAGAAATTATGAATGCTTTCTTGCTGCAAAAAGAGGAGCTGCAAGGTGAAATGTCACTTACTACTCTGAGCAGATGTGGCATCTTCTAACAGTGTCAAACGTTTTTCCATTGTATGATCTACATGGTGTATTTTTTCTGCTTATAATAGGGGAAAAGTGTTGTTTCCTATACCAGGTTTTCAGGGATTCTGAACAATATTACTATTTTATTACTTTGGTGGGAGTTATGACTATTCAACTTTACAAATTTTATGAAAATTTTTACTGGGAGTTTACATTCAAATTATTGTTTTGCTTCAGGTTTCTGCCTTTTTAAAACGGGGAAGAGTAGCAGATGTTTATGGCCCAGGCTTCGGGTAGACTGACATGTTCAGCACTTTCTTCAGAAGAACTGGGAAGATGCAAGTTAGTACTGTGATGTAAGTATATTTTAATTAAATGCGTACTGGATCTGAATTAAAATATTTACACTTTTTGGGTAATGTTGTACAACCATCATATCCTACCTACTTTTCTGTAGTATTGAGTAACAAGTTGATGAGGATTGTCCATTTAGATACTGATTGCAAATAGAAATCCAGCAAGTTTGATTTGGTACTGCCTCTTGTCTTGTGTAGTCATTTATGCATGTGCAAGTTGAGGAAAAGTAGCCCATGATATACTATTAAATCAAAATGCTTCTGGCAATAGTTTGCTCTCACTTTACACAAATATAAATGACTGCATAAGGTGCAAGTCAGTGAAGAGCTGATAGACTCCTGACATGTCTAAATTTATATTCACTTTAACCTTTTTAAGGAACAAATTTCCATATCTTTTAAATTGATAATGTAGCTTTTTAAAACTGAAAGGATTTTAAAAATGTATTTTGTTATATGATGCTGTTTACTTTTTTAAATTTCACTGAACTTGTAAAAAAATCTATTCGGTTTTCCTTTCTGGTTTTCATGTTATCCCAGGCTACAAACAGATGTCACATTTGTCATAGGATAAACCATTTTATCCAGGATAAAGTGCAGTTATTCAGATGTCCTTGCCTGTGTTGTCCTGGGATAAATCCTAAAACGGTTCATGGGATGGGAAATACTCCCAGTGTAGCCTGGGATATCTCACAATGTATCTGACTATCAGTAGAAAAATGGCAGTGTATTCAGCTGATTAGAGGGGCAATGTGTGTACACCAATCCTGGGATATTTCTGTTCCAGGACAAAGGCACAGCTTGTCTAGGGACAAATGCAACTTCTCTTTCTAGCTAAAGCATTACAATACTTGGATTACTAACATTTTAGAAGAACATTTAATTTTAAACCATGAAATGTTTTCATTGCAATTTAAAAAAATGTTTCCATTGACAGGCTTTGTCTTTAATAAAAACTGTTTTTAACAAACCCCAATTTTGAGCCCACAGACAATGATTATGTTGTTTAATCTTTTTTTCTGACAGATTTCAAGTAAATAGTTTGCAATAACTTACATTTTAAGTATAAACTACACACATTTTACTTTTGTGACCTGAATGCTTTCAAGTTGATTTTGAGAGGCAGTTAGCCATATTAATCGGAAGCTAGGAAGGAGGCAGGGCTTTTGTCTCTCTGAACCTGTTAGTCTCTAAGCTGATTTTGGGAAGACATGTTCTTGTGTGCTCTTTTTCCACCCATAACATGACTAGAAATCAGGTAGCCAGTAATGCAGTGATTCTCAAGTAGGGTGCCACAGCACCTTGGGAAGCCTTGATATCCTTTCATTGGTGTCACAGGGTGCTATGCAACGTTAACACAGTTTGGCGTGTGAACAGGAATTACAAGATATATCCAGATAGTTCAAATAGGAATGATAGTTTTTAAAACGTTCTGAACTGTTGTCTTTCTGAGTTTGTTGCAACAGAAGGATTGCTCTTTTGTAGTTCCAGAGTGAAAGCTAAGAGCTGGCATTTTCTGAGGGGTGCCTTGAATCTAATGAGGGATACCTTGAGTCTAAAAAGGTTGTGAACCACTATGGTAATGGAATGGATAGGAATAGTTAATTTTATTAAGTGATAGGCGGGTGATGCATTTGAGATCAATAACGCAGATATATATACAAATGCATGTTGAGAAGTAAGTTCTTTTTTCCTTACATAACGGGACCAGAAAATAGTGGTCAGTAATGGAATAAAAAAAGTAGTTTTGCTGTTAAGTGTGTAAGAGAAATAAATTGGAAGTTATTATGATCAGATAAAAAAAAAAAAGAAAAACTTCATAAAGTGTTATGCAATAAATACCTACAAAACCAGATAGTTCAGGTGCAGTATTTTATTCAGTTCGAAGGACACTTGGGTACAGGGAATCCCTGCTTAACGCTGTTTTGCTTAGTGCTAGTTTGCTATAATGCTCATTTTAAATTGATACCTGATTTCACATAGTGCTCAGCAGGTTTCGCTATAATGCTTGCAGCTGCCATGTTGGGTCATTAAAAACACTAGTGGTAGCCATCTTGGGTCATCAAATACATTAGGTTTCGCTTAACGCTCATTTTGCTTAATGCTTGGTTTTCCAGGAACCAATTAAGAGCACTAAGTGGGGGTTGCCTGTACTTGTGCAACTAATTCTGTGTAGGTAAAGACCTGCTTTTGTCTGGGGTCAATTGCAGTATCTAGGTCTATGTTGAGAAAGAGAAGTAGGGAATTCCATTGGACACTGAAAAATTTAACAGCCTTCACGGATGTGCATGCTGCGCCTGTCTTAGTGCTTGATATTGAGCACGCTCTTATTTAATCTATCATATGGTATCAGTCTCTTTCAAAAGTGCTGCTTTTCTGCTTTTTAGATTGGAGACTGGGTAGTTTACGCAGTAGATTGTGATCTCAAAAGTGAGATGTGATCACTGGTATAAATATGCATGGAACTCACACTACCATATGTATGTTTTCTTTATGGTGATGGAAAAGGTATTCGATTCATGTAGATACCACAAGGAACTGTGCGCCAGAAGAGGCAGTAGTCCATAAACTGTGATATCAAGAGATGGATAAACAGAAATATAGTTAGAAAGACTTAATTACGTAATATTAATTGAAATTTTAGTATTGTTTCTACAGAACATAAATTGTATTTATAATAATCTGTTTTAGTATAAATTGTTTCAATCTGGATTAGGTAAAAGTCAGAAATTATTAGTGAGAGATTTTGTGCTCTCTTGTCTTTATGCACAATCAGCTACTGAAGATCCTTTACTGAGTTTGTCTCAGTAATACACACATTTCCTTATGAAAAAACACTTGAAAAAACTTTTCTAGCAAAAGTAGCAAAAGAACATAATGATGGAAAGCACTGCAGACGCAAAATAATTACTAGGGAGGGATTTTTCAAACGATTCAGCATGAATCACTTCTAAAATAGCAGATCTATGTCACAGGAAATTATTAGGTAAAATGTGTCGGCCGCAGTTTATTTCCTCCAGTCCCAAAAGCCCAACTTGAGTAAGGTGGTTCCTATGTAGATGGTATATTGCTTTTTTTTTTTTTCAATCCAAATGATTGCCACTTCACTTTTGTTGTAAAAAGAAATAAAAAATCATCTCAGGATTATATTTCCCCCTGATCTCTGTATTCGAATAATAGCATCTATTGTATGTTGGCATGTTAGGCTGCTAGTTTTGTTTTTCATTTACTTCAGATATAAACAGTAAACCCACAGATAGAGAACATTTTGCTGGGGTGGAGGAGTGACGTTTATTTTTAGCAGTTAAAATTATGGGCTGAGCGCCAAGTACTCTGTGGCACAATTGGACTCTATTTCATTGTTTCCTTAAGTTCAGGTAAGCCAGAAAACTTGTCTCAGCTATGCAGTTGGTCCGTTAAAAGATATTATAAAAAAAAATAAATAAAAATCCTTGCCCATCTATATTTACAACAACACTTCAACACTGCTTAAATTCTGACATCTGTATCATAGGCCTGTGAAATCCCCTATATCTCCATCCCTCCCACGTACATACACAAATTGGCTGTGGTTCAGAGTTGAAATGCTCATTAAAGTACAGTTTATCAGTAATTATTATAAGCTATAATTATTTTTCTAATGGATTTTCCTTATTTTCTTCTCCGTATGTCCCAGCCTTCTGACCCATAGCAGTTAATGATGTCTGGGTAGTGAGGCTCAGAATCATCATCTTTTCTGCTCTGTAGAGCCTGGGGAAAGGGGGAAGCTTGTAAGCAGTTTCATGAGTTCTCGGCTCCACTGGCCTTGACTCATATTGCATTCTTTGGGCAATCTGACTCCTTTCTCTTTCCTGGTTGCCACTTGGACTGTAGTTCTAGGTCCCTGACCCTTTGCCTAGTGCTGTAGAACAGGGCAGAAGCATGAGCTGTAATTCAAGTAATTCCTTTTACAGGGAAAGTTACGAAGAAGAAGGTGGTTGCAGGTTGGTCCTAGCAGAGCAGAGAAATAGAAAACAAAAGGAGTTGTTTTCCTGGCTTAGCTAAAATAATACATTCTGCAAACAAAAATGCTGAATTCTGTAATATCTTGGGAAAAGGCCAAAACCGTTGACTGTCGTTGGAGTCCCTAGTAATCTGCGAGAGAGGAGCAGGGTAGTTCACTCTTCAGAACTGTTTTTTTTTCTAGGGTTTTGCAGACTAAAGGGGTTGGTCTGTACATACATTAAGTGGTTTAATTTAAGATCCAATGTTGCATTTAGTTAAATTCACCCCTCCTGGGAATTATTTGTATTTGGTTCATATTTTGGAGGTTCTTTGTAACCATAAGGGATAGGAACTTGACTTTCTTAATGAAGGATGAGATTTGGAGCATGATTTTGCAGAAAATTGCATGCTTTCTAATTCCACAAGGTTGTGACTTTACTATAAGAATAATCCAGAACCAGGGGATTATGAAGCAGGTGATTATGAAACTGCCTTCCATACAAAAATCTTTGATAAAAGCATATTAATATTGAAATATGAAGAATTCAAAATCATAACTGTAATTTTCTCTCCTCTATGTATGTATGCATTAAAGTGCAGGTCTAGGTTTTAGATTCTGCTGAGTGTAGGACCTAAAGGATAAAGTCAAAAGCCTCTATGCGCTAAGGACATTGTTGGTTGTAGATGTTTTCTCTGGTATCTCTAAACCAATAAATGGTGCATGTTAGAGAGGGTATTAAGGGACAGATCAATCTAGAGCAGTGACAGCCAACCTTTTTGCCCTGTGGGCTGGATTGGCAGAGTCTGGTCTGTTTGTGGGCCAGATCCAGCTAGTGCTTCTGATTCGGCTTGGGCACCATCTGCCTGCATGGAGAGAGGGGTGATGGTGGGAGACAGGGTGGCTTCAGTGCAGCTCCACAGGGGAAAGGAGCTTGACTCAGTCCAGTGGAGAGGAAAGGGGGCATGACCTAGCCCTGAGGAGGAAAGAGGGTGTGGCTGGGTCCCAGCACAGCCCC